CATGCTGGCATGAGCACACGGATACCCTTGCAGCTCCCCTGCTGCAGCAGGCGGTATTAAGATGGAATCTGATGCTTGTTTTGATAGCGCCTGCCCAGCTTCATCACTGAAGCTTCATTACTGTCTGCAAGAAAAAAAAAAATTACTCTAGAGGTAGAAAATCAAGAAAGACTTTTGCATCTGATTTCTGCCTTACTATGAGCAGCAATTCAAGGTCAAATGAATAAACCATCCAGGGTGCTGGCTTGCCCTGTACATATGAGATGCATAGACAAGACTTCTGTATAGGGCCGTGCTCAGAAAATTAGACAGGAACTTCTCTTCATCTAAATTGAAGAGGATTAGGAGACAGAGCCCTGCCCTCCCTCCTGACCTCTGCAGAGCCAACAGCCCCCACAGCACATACAGCCAACCCCAGTCTTAGCCAAGCCCAGCAATCAAAGCTATTAATGGCTGAGCAGTTATCTCCTCTAAAACCAGCCAAGGCAGAAGGCCCACGGACCTGCTGGAGCAACGCATTGTACAGGCTGACCACGTGCTGAGAATTAGCTGCGGTCTCATCCTGCAACTCAGAAAATTACAGCTTGTTTCCTATTACTTGTCCCACTTCATCTCTTCTGCGATTGCTTTTTGAAAAAGGTCCTTATTGAGACAGGTACTTATTACTTCTCCTGCAGCTCCAGCCTCATACTATTAATTCTCCCAGTTTGCCAACTGCCTTGTGTCTTCTCTTTCTCCTTTTCACATCCTTTCCCTTTACTACACTAATTGGGCAAAGGATTCAAAGATGCCGTCTTAATGTCTGCATTCACCTGTTGTCCTTGAGTGCCTCAATTTTTTCCACGCACCTCTACCTGCCCGCCTAATTCCCTCTCTGCACATGCCCAGCTGGGCCACTGGAATTCAGCCTCCGAGAGCTCACTGGAAGTGCCTCGAGTGGAAGAATTACCTTCCGAAACTCAAAGAGAGCTGCACGCCCAGGGTGAACCCAGCAGGTGAGGTAACAGGAGCATGAGCCTCAACGCTGGGTGAGGACTGTGAACCCCATCTGTCACCAAATGAACTGCAATGGGTGTAAACTGGAACTGGAGGTTATCCTCGCGTCCGCCAGCACTTGGGGAACAGCTATTCCCACTTAGCCTTCTGATCCGTTAAGAGCGAGATGGAAGTGCTGCCCAGGGATTTTATCCTACCATGGGGAATAAGCACAGTTCAGCCTTTGATATTTGTTTTCTGACAAGCTCTCCTCCTGAAGTGAAATAGCCCTAAATAGTGGAGAGGCTGAGACTGTAATGAGCCATAGCACAGCGGGGTTTTAGAGATAGCTGGGGAACGATAAGATCCAATCCCTGGTGTCTGCGAGATAAAGTGGTTTATCTGGGTTTCCACACAGGGGAGAGTTAGCTGCTAGACCTAGCTGAAAGATAGGGGGCTGGCAACCAAGGAGATTACAACCAGAGATAGACTCGCTGGGTTTTCTGTTTGCAAAGCCAACTGGGCTAAGGCAGCATGCACCCCCCAGGAAAACCAGTTATTCACCCCAATATAGAGACCCACTAACCTGAAAGAGGGGAGGGAGAATCCAGCTGTTGGATAAGCTGTGGGAGAGGCAGTTCAACCTTGTCCTCCTCCGGTCCCCACCTGCTCTTCCGCTTCTTTTTAGTAGTGCCTGCGGCAGTAGCTGTCGTTGCAGCAGCAGCAGTCGTAGCTGTCTGATCAGGCAGAGTCGTAGAGGATGATGGTGAGGGTGAGGGCAAGGGCGAGGGAACGGGCAAGGGCGAGGACAAAGGTGAAGGAACAAGCAAAGAGGAGGGAACAGGCAAGGGCACAGGGGAGGGAACAGGCAGGGGCACAGGTAAAGGTGAGGCCAAGGGCACAGACGATGAGCTCAAAGGTGATGGTGATGCCTCGGGACTGGTCTTCCTTTTCAGGCTGGACTCTACAGGCACGGGGGCACACGCAGTGCTGGTTTTGGCCTTACGGAACTCCTCCAGTTTCTGCCGGTAATACTTGTAGCCTTTGCTGTTTGGCTCGTATAAAAACCTATAAAGAAAAAAAAAATAAAGTTTAAATGTAACAGTCATACGCAGGGGTTGGATATAGCACAGTTCGGTCAGCGCTGCTCTTTCCCACGATGCTCTTGCACAAGCAGCCTTCCCACCCACGTCCTTGCTCTCCAGCTCCATCCTGTGTGTGTGTGCACTCAATGCAGGGCTCCGCGTGCTTTCGGAAGGTGGGCTGCAAGCCTTTGGGATCAGGAAGTGTTATTTCCCATTCATGAGCAAACCACAGCTATTTTTGGTGCCAGATAAACACACGGGACTAAAAAGGATCATGTTACATTTGTGGAAACACAAGGTCCTCCCCCAGAATTCACCTACCTTCCAGAATACGTTTGGAAAAATTGCAAAGGCTCCACAGCATGTGGGGTTTCAGTGCATAGAAGAAAACAAACATTCAGGTCTTACCAATGGGAATGCCAAAACACTGCCTAAGGAAACTGCTCCGAAGCGTTGGCACTACCAGTCTGCTTAATTACACCATGACTCCTCCTTCTGTTCCCTCACACACACAAAACCATCGCTTTATTTGCTACCCCTTCCAGAAATAAGCATCTCTGACCTTTTGGGTAAAATGAAACTCCCTAGTCTCTGTGGGAAGAAGATGAACAATCCTCAACCTAGCAGCTATGCAAAAAATTAAATACAGTCCCGTTTGTTACAAACACGTTATCTTTTTGGGCTTATTCCAGCTGAAATGCTTCATACAGAAAACTGGTCTATTCCTAACTCCTCTACAATCTGCCCTGTTTAAAGCACCAGTTTAATACTTGATATAACCTCTCCTCGGGATAGTGCCATAAGAAAAGATAAGAGATGATGGGCCTGTTCCATCTATTGCTGCACAACACGCACAGGCAAACACAAACAGCTCTCTGATGTCTTAAAATTCACTAGACGTGGTCTTGCATCCCTCCATGTGAGTGACAGCATCAGGGATCGCTTCAGGACCTAGCAGAGGGCAGGATGGGACCCTCCCTAAGGCAAACCTGGTGACATCCCTCCAGAGGAGATAGTGACTGTGCTCAGGGGGATCACAGTGGTGTCTTAAAGTAAATAACGAAGCAGCTCAGACATGAGCACATCTGTCTAAGGTAATTCACAACATGAGGGGAGTGCCCCCGAGGGCCAGAAGGCAGCCAACAAAATGCCAAAATATCAGCAACAAAAAAGGCTTGCCGAGACCCGCTTCACTGCCAGAGAACACACCAAACTGTTTGTAAGAGCAGAAAAATATAACACGGATGAGACCAAAGGGAGGCATTAAACAGCTGTCAGCGAGCACTGAAGAGAACAACTCACATCCAACAGGCTGAAAAAGACATTCCAAAGGGGTCCTAACGGTGAAGGACCGCTATCTGCACGTTAGCGAAGACGCTGTATGAAGAGCAACCCAGGAAACTAAATGGACAGCAGCAGCAGAAGTGGTGGATGGGGGCCCACACCAAAACACAGCTATAGGGAGAATATAAAGGTTAGAATTATGCTAGTACCCTGCAACAGAAAGCAGGTGAGGAGGGGTAAGTCATAAATTAATTCTGGAGGAAGGAAATGGATTCCTCTCTCTCTATGCCTTGCTTTAAACTGTGAAGCTTGAGAATGTAAAAGTATCATTGCTGTAAGTGCACTGTCCTTGTAACTTCAGACTTATCACCAGCTTGTCTATTACTTCCCCTTCAAACAACCAAACAAACCCATCTAAGACCGCCCACTACACCCAGGAGCAGGTTTCTGCCCTTACCTGAAAGCGTGGTTCTCTCGGTTGTTCTGCAAGGCAATAGCTTCTGCCTCGGGACCCCCGTCTGCCACGAACCTGGCCAGTTTCTCAGCACAGTTCTTTGTCTCTTCGTCGTCTGGGGGTGAAACTTTAAGCAGGCTGTCAGTACTGGGCCCAACTCACACAAGCAACAGTCAAAGCCTATCTGTTCTAAGAACCCCAAGAGCAGAATAAGGGCAAAAGGTCGAGTTTAAATTTTAGAAATATTACACATAAACAGTCATAGAGTTTATAGCACAAACACATGATATCACGTAAGGCTGTACAACAACTCTGTAACCAGAGCAGTGGCCATTCACACACCAGCTTCCTCTGCGCCAGGAGCTAGATGAGAGCAGATTAACAGACAAACCAGCTTTTGTCCTGGACACTTGGTTCCCTCTACTGCGGAGGAAGTCTGTTTCTTTCCCTTTGTCAGGCATTTTTCCATAGGATTGCACCTCAGCACTCACAATTATCGCTAAAGACTTTGCCACTGATGTCCCAGGAGCAATGGGAAGGCCTTAGAAAAAGTGGCAAACTAATAACACACCGTAATGCCACTTGTACCCACTGTCACTGCACACCTCCTGGATGGTTTAGGGACGGGCTGTAGGACGGAGGAAATTCTCCACGGAACAGTGCCAACCCTCACCTGGAGGAGGTGGCTGCTGCAGCCTCCATCGGAAGGCACGGAGAGGGCTCTGATCTTCATATTTCACGTGTATTTGATGTTTATAAGGAGCCAGGCACACAGGTTATTTACCCACGACAGCCTTATATGACATTTGCTACCTGCCCAGTACCAGTGCCTGCACCCCAGCCTGCTGGCACGGGACCAGAAGACAGGATAGTGAGCCAGGGACAAGTCACAACCCTTCCTTGCTCCACTATTCCACACCTGTGAGGGTGGATAACACCGCTCAGCTTCCAAACTGGGGTACCAGTTAGCTGAAATCGGTAACAAGCTCTTTCAGCCTACAGCCGACTAAACCATGAGCAGTTTGAGTGGTTAACTCCGCAGTGTGACAGCTACACTGCATGAATGCTCCTTTCTACAGAAAAGGAAGCTGACACGGAGGCTGAGTGATTCGCCACATGGCAAGCCTGAAACGGAGGCTGGACTAGAAGTGCTAAACACCGGCCCTCAGACCACACTTCACCCACTAAATAATTTCTGTCTCTTAACATGGTTAACCAGGCTCCACCGCCCACACCAGCTGGCTGCTGGCAGATCACCCACTTCTGCTGTTTTCCCACCTGAAAACACAGTCCCCTATTTGCAAGGATTTATGTCCCAAGCAGAAAATTAAAGCTTCAGTTAGGGGAAAGGCAGCAGAAATGGGGATTACGTTCAAATGAATTACTGTCATTAATAATAAATCAAATAAGAACATCTGAAAAAAAGCACTTTCCCTAAATGCATTTTCAGGGCTGAAACACTTTCCACAACACACCCAGAGAATCATTTTAGTTCACTTTGTTAAGGATTCTGGAGAAACACAAGGAAAATCTCTTTCAAGAGCCCTTTACACAGAGCAGGGCACAGCAGGCTGGGGGCGGGGGAACAACCGTTTTGGCACAAGAGCTTCACGCCATCACGATGCTGTTTGATGACCATCTTCTTCCATTGTGAAATTTCATTTACAGACAGCAGACTGACAGCCAAATAGCCACTCCAACTGTTTCCAGAACAGATCTAGCAAGCCGTTAGAGAGAGTGAAGCAGTCCAATACAACGTACGAAATTCATTCTCTCCAGGTCCTAGTCTTAATTACCTTTCTGAGAAGAGGATGCCTGAGAACTCTGATTCTCTTTTCTTATCTCTGCCACTTTCTTTCTGTAGTAAAGGAATTCTCTGCTGTTCTTATCATGCAAAAACCTAGGGTGGAGATGGAGGAAAAAAAGGGCAAAAAAAAAAAAAAACGCATCAGTAACAGCTATACACAAACACCGGTACTTTGGAATAGAAACAGCTCAAGCCAAAAAAACCCCCAAAAGGTAAATTACCCAGAATGCACTTAAAAGGTGGATTACAAACTCTGCAGCATGTATAAATACACACAGCTTTAATCTAAGGACTTGCATCCCCATTTTTTGTGCCACTTGAAGGGAAATCAGCAACAGTCTCTTCTGATGTAGGAGGGAATCCTCCGTCTGCAGCCACGCGGCGTTATCAACGGCAGAGGAGACAGAACCAGTCCTGAGATCCAGTCCAGTATCCCCACATGCTGGGTGTTGTCCAGGCAGCCAGCCCTCCCAGGCTGTGTTCCCAGCCCCAGCTGTTCTGCCTCCTCAGCACCATCACAGTATCACTTTCTGCCTCGGTTTCCCCAGCTATAAAATGACTACTCTCAATAAAGCTCAAATCCACCCAACGGTAATTAAAGTTCTGCTTTGGAAGACAAGAGTTAGGATCGCACTTACGCAAAAGCTGGGTTATCCTTGTAGCCTTCCATAGCGAGCTTCTCTAATTCTGGTCCCCCTTCCGCCACGAACCCAGCCAGCTTTTCCACCACTTCTCGGGTCTGTGCATCCTCTGGGGGTAAAACTTTAAGCAGGCTGTCAGTACTGGGGTTCAACTCACACACCAAACAGGCAACAGGTACATTACTTCTAAGAATCACGGTGGCAGACAAAAGTAGAACGGGAATGGGAAGAAAAAGGATGAAATGGCGGATCACAGCTGCACAAATTACAATCCCTAGGTTACTGTCAGCTTCTGCACTCCCCTCGTAGGAAGTTATTATTTTGTCTAGATTTTTCCTACAAGGAAAAGCCCAAGATTTGGATCACTACAGTTTAGGGTGCAACTTCAGTTGCAACATAATTTGCTTCTGACAGTTCTACTCCATACAAAACACAATGGGGAGGAACAGAAATTTGGTTTTAACAACCACATTACTCATTACAGATTCCAGTTCCCCAGACACCGCTCTGTACCCAGACTGCAGAGACAGATTGTGCAGCTGGAGCACACAGTTCTTCCTCCTGGCATATGCCCATGTCTCAACCCTCGCTTGGAGGGAATCCCACCAGAGATAAGAGGAGAGCTCAGTCTCCAGGGAACTGTACCAGGGCTTCTGTGCCAAGAAAGGAGCCCACTGACAGCAGTTACAGAGCTGATGCAGGACACATTCCACGGGAACTAAACACAGGCATTTGTCTAGACAGCATTTTGGGTACAGTGCTGAACAAGGAGCACACAGGAGCAGAGCTGTCCACCCTGATCTAGACGAGATTTGAACCCACGATCCTTAAATTAAGGGTCCAGATTGTGTCTTTGCTCTCTGCAGCCAGCGGCTTTCTCACATTCCTGCAGTGCATTTCACGCCTAAGTTCAGACTTGCTAAGATTATGCTTTTATAAATCCCACCAGAAATAGCTAGACATGGTTTTGTAAACAGATAATGAAATAAATTATGACACAAAGCTCAGTGTGACTTATTTAGCAACTCCAATCTAATTTTACACTCGATTAATACGCACGCATGAAATTCAGATTATTAACCAAATCTGCCTTCTGGCTTCCTCCCCTAGGTTATCCAGAGAAACTTGCGTATTTAAGTGCTGCAATGTTCTTCATCCGTTTTCTATCCTACTTCAAGCAGTCAGGATGTAGAGGCAAGATGAAACTCTGATTTTACCTGGTGATAGGTCCATGTAATCTTACTTATTAACACATACAATCTTTCCCCCTACACAACCACACCCAAACTGAGGACTTTTAATTTTCTATCATTTAAAAAAACTAAAATCCCATTTTAAATACAAGTGTTATACCTATATGTGTTACAGAGAACTCAGCACTAGCCATTGCAGATGTTGGCTGTACAAAAGACTGGTCGGCGCTTGCCCTGATAACTCAGAGAAAATAAACCTTCCAGACGCAAACCAGACCTGGTGTAACTACGGCGAGTGACCCATCTCCACACCGAGGTCAGGCTGGGTCAGTAACATCCAGCAGCATTCAACCCCCAGCTCTTCTGCTGAAGCTGGCTTTGGCAGAGTCCACCAGCATTAACTGGTGTCATTTATACTTCACACCGCACAAGTCTACATGCAGGAGCTGTGCTAAAAATATCAAATCACAGCACAAGGAACAAAACCCAACCCTCTACTGGGGAGAGGATCCTCCTTATCAATAGGGTAAGCGAACCTGCACCCCAAACCAAACAACGTAGCACAATGTGTCATTTACCTTTAATTTCCAACCACTGCTCATAATCTTCTTCCTCATCTTCATCTGGCGACTGAAACACACTGAGGCGGTTAACGACTGGGGTCTGTTTGGAATGGGAGTAGTTCTTCGCTTGGTGCAGCATGCTGCTCAGGACCTGACCGGGGCGCCTCCCAAACAGCACAGGTTTCTTCCCAACATTTGACGCAGGAGTGTTTGTCGAGTTATTAGTAGAACTTGGGGGAGTTTCTTAGAAAAGAATGAGGGGAAAATAATTCCTGTGCATCCTTTTTTTGAAAGGTTACAAAAAACAACTCAGGCAGTAATCCAGCTGCAACAGGCTGTTCTTTTCAGAGTAAGTTAAAGACACTGCCTGGTAAAAGCTCCATAACTCAATGAAAGCTGTGATGATTTCTGAGAGAGAATTAAGGTAGAAGAGAGATGCTTGTCTTTACAGTACTACAGAGGGGAAGAGGGCAAACTTCCCTATCACATTTCAAAGAAAGATTTCAATCTGAATTTCAAAGGGTCATCACTGCTTTAGAACTTACTCCTACTGGTAACAGCTCATAGCAGGGTTTCTAAAGGGAACATACACGGAGGCAGCTCACACAAAGCTGGTATCACCAGGAGGAGGAGGGCCTCCTGTTGCTCAGAAGTCGACCTACCAGCATTTGACTTTTCCTTCTGCAGCTTGAGAAACTGCTGGAGGAAACTGCCATCGTTAACAAACTTGTTGGAAACACAGGCTTCATTGTCAGTACCGTCATCTCTGAACAGAAAAAGAAAAGTAGGTGATGGTACTCATCATCCTCCCCACCCCCTTCACATGCATTTATTTTGAGCAGAAAACAAGACAAAAGCTAATACTAATTTCTCTCATCACACTTTGACAGTGCACCTAGTTTTTTAAAAGCACAAGAACCACTCAGCTTGCTGTTTACAGCATTCACCTCACACTCTCCACCTGGCTTGTTTACAGCCACGTTGAAACAGGATTTCTACTTGCTCTGTCACACTACGCTGCTTCCAAGAACTCCAGGCAAGCGTTCAACTGGAGAACAGTGCTATCTCTGAGGAGTCAGAGATTATAAGAAAAGCAACAAACAGGAAGCAGAAGGAATACTACCCTATTATAACACCCTGTTAAATATGTTCGGTGTTAGTATGTATCTATCCTCACGAGTATCTGAACAATCTGTCTAGATCAAGTGCAAATATCCTGTTCCAACCTTTACTCAATTATTAATTTCAACTTTCTCAGCATTTGCCTCCAAGGGCAAGAGCTTTGGAGATCTCCTCTCCTCAGCTTCCCGTGACCAACGTGTGTAGCTGCCATCCCAAAGCACTGCAATTCCCACATACTCTCCTAGCAGAGGTAGCTGCTGGATGCTCAGGTAATTCTGCTTCGCTTGCTGCTCCAGCCTGGCCTCAATTTCTCTCTTTTTCTGCGCTATCAGCTCCTCTTGGTGAAGAATATTCACGTTGGTTTTGGCCGATTTAGACTGAGCCACCCCGAACCACCGGCTGGCTTTTCCTACGGGAAAAGGACGAAGGAAAATCAACGCTGGGGCTTTGGGGGCCACCGCACCGACAGGGAAATGACACCACAGCCCTA